AAATGTTATTTATTTAAAAAGAAATAAAAAATGATAACTAAAAATGAAAATATAATAAATTAAAATAATATAAAATAGTTTATAAAATTAAATTAAAAATATAAAATAAAATAAAAAGAAACAAAATGAATAATATAAATGAGAACTAAATTAATAGAAGTAAAATTAAATAAATCAAATCAAATTAATTAAATCTAGTAAAACGAAATAAAATAATATAAAGTACAATAAAATAATATAAAATAAAATAGTAACATAAAATAATTTGTTGGAAATACATCAAGATGTAAAACCACTAATTGGTGGAGGAGCACGGCCGAAAAATCGCTTATTTTTGGAAAAAAAAGCAGATTAAATTAAAATAAAATAAAGTAAATGAAATAATATAAAATATATACAAAATAAAATTAAATGTAAAATAAAATGAAATATAATAAAATACAATAAAATAAGATAAAATAGAAAAAATATAATAAAATAAAAAAGAGCAATATAATAAAATAAAATTATGTAAAAGGAAACACAATAAAATAATATAAATTAGAATTGAAGTAAATTAATGTACGTCAAATAAAATAAATTAAAATAGAATAAAATAGAACAATATATATAATATAAAATAAAAAAGGTTAAATAAAATAAGATATAGTAAAATAAAAAAATTAAATAATATAAAATAAACTAAAGTGAAACCAAATTAAATAAATCAGAATAAAATAAGATAAAAAAACCATTTGTAATGGAAAAAGAAAATGCAAATAAAATCAAATAAAAAGATTTAAGTAAAATAAAACGAAATTATAAGAGAAAATTTAAATAAAATAAATGAAAAAATAAATAAAATACAATAAAATATAATAAAATAAATTTAAATACAAAATTAAAAAAACGAAATAAAATAAAATAAATAAAATAGAATATAATAAAATCAAAAAAAAAACAAACAAATTGAAATGAAAAAAAGAAAATGCAAGTAAAATAAAATAAAAAAAAATAAAGTAAAATAAAACGAAATTAAAAAAGAAGATTTAATGGAAATAAATGTAAAAAATTAGTGGAATACAATAAAATATAATAAATTTTAATAAAAATTAAATAAAATGAAATAAAAACTAAATAAAATGAAATAAAAAAAAATCTAATAAATCTAAATAAATAAATATGAATTTCGATTCTAATTTATATCATTTAATTAATTATTTTATTTTATTAAATTAATATAAAAAAACTAGAATCAAACAAAATAAAATGAAGTGAAAAAATAAAACATAACGATTGAAATGTAAGATGTATTAAAATAAAATAAAATTATATTAAATAATGTTGAAATAAAACTAAAAAAAAGAAGGTTAAATTTATTTAAAATAATTACAAAAGTAAAATAAAGTACAATTGAAATGTTTTATAATATTACAATAATATAAATAAAAACCAAGTCAAGTTAAATTAAATAAAGTAAATAAATTATTAAAAAAAAATTAAATAACGGGTTAAAAATAAAGGAAAATATGCAGAATTACTTACAAAAATGCTTTACCAATTAAACTCACAAGTAATTAAATTCATTTTGTATCTTCTAAACTTCTGCAAAATTGATATTTCAGTTTTCTGTAATTTCTCAGATAAATACTCGTACATATGTATTTCCATAGCACACGCACATAATTAGTTTTGACTATTAGGCTTTTAACCTTGACGTCGCCCATTTCTGGCTCTTTTAGCATCATTGTTATACTTTCAATTTCCAATCTCAATTGCCCAATCAATGTTTGTTTGGCTAATTTTCGCCCCAATTTAGACTCAGCCATACGAAGCCGCAGGGCATGAGGCTAAAGTTAACACTTTACATAGCTATGTACATAGATTCATAGCAGGAGCAGCTTGTAGTTCCGCAAGTGGTGCCATATCGCCAACAGCAATCTCTAGTTGTAATTATATTTTCGACTTTTGCACCGCCGCTACGTAATGGTATTTGCGCACAAAACACGCCCACGTACACACTCAAACATGAACGCGACGGCCAAAGGTTTAATTTCGGGAAAAATAAAAATCTGAAATAATTCATAGTTAAAAACTGCAAGTTACAAAGTCAACAACAAGCACTATTGTTTCTACATGTGAGACGGTGGAATAGAGCAATGCGTGTCTGGTTGGAAGTACCTAGGAATATATGCATATGTATGTAAGTATGTATACATTTTTATTCTTCATCGCATTCACTGTTGGGAAAATATTTTTCATTGTACGTATTTTTTCGTCTTTAATTCAAAGTGAAGTTTTGGCGCCAAAGCATGTCGGCGCACAATTTCAAGGCTGAGTGAGCAGCAATTATTTTTTTAATTCATACATATTTATATACATGCGAGTACGAGTATGTATGTATATATTTGAATGGCGTTTGCTGCAACAGCTGCTGCAATCGTTTTTAAAGTTCCCTACAACATACATATATATATATATATATGTATATATGTATCTTCTTGTTTAGAAAAATTAATCCAAATTAGAGGTGGATATGAGAAGACGCCTACGCAAATTGGCACTGCAAGAAGTGGTGTGTGCATTGTGAATGCCGCTTCCAACTCTTTGAAATGTAAACCGTTAATGAGTTTATCATTTACTGTTATAACAATGGCCACAACATTTACCGGCTGTGAAAACTAAGGTTAAACAACAGCAAAAGCTACGTCAGTATCGGGAAGGCCTCTTCATTTCTGCCATTCGATACCAAACGGGGTCTCAGTTAAGGCGAGCTCTTATCACATGATTTCTCTCGTGACAACAACCGCGCTCTAAGTTCTGCTTTCTCCAGACTGGATAAGGAAGCGAAGCGTATGGGTCTGGCAGTGAATTGGGACAAGTCGAAAGATCTCTTGTCATCAAACAAACAATCATCGCATAAGCGAATTGACTCATTGCTGAACAGTCGTAACTTTGAAGTCGTAGAATCATCACATACACCAACAACAATGTCAGCTTCGAAACTTAATGCTGAATTACTCTACTACAGTTGCCACTTCATAATCCCCTCTCGACGAACAAAGACCAAATTTTACAAGTTGCTCACCTTTTCCGTCCTGCTTCATAATGCGGAGACATGGACGATGAAGACAATATCTGATAGAGATCAGCGTTTGATTTATAGTCCACTCTGAGTTGGGAAAGGTGAATATCACAGCCAATAGAACAATGAGCTGTGCAGGATACACGGAATCTGACATGAGAATACTCCAACTTTGAAAGTGTTCGATGCAGTACCCGCCCGTGGAAGCAGAGGAAGATCTCCACTCTGTCGACAGATCAGATGTAGAAAGATCTGGCGCCAAAAATCGTAGTCTGCCGGTGTTTACGCCAGCAAAGAAGGAAATGATAGTTAATCTAGTATTCTTTATAGAGCCAGAACTAACTGCAAGGGGCATTCAACAGGTCAACCCAACTTAAAATATTTAGACAGTCGCTGGATGGGAATGATAACGTAAGGGTTCGCTGCGAACTTACCCTAAATTGATGTCTGCTCTCCTGCAGAACAACAATAACAGCTGGAAGTGACATTTTGAAAACCATAATTTTTCAACCTTTTTCGAGAAAGCGATCAAGAGGATAACAGGGCCAAGATATGTCTGAGACCGTATTGACAACACGTGAGATGTTTCACATCTGGAAAGTATATCATTGATCAGTTATTTATTCTACGCCAAACACTGTAGAAGTCACTTAAAACTGAAGCTTGTCTTGCGATTTCAAAACTGTGGACAAAAAAAAAATGTTTCTGTGCTTTGTAGAAAGAGAAAGAAGATGTTAAGCAAGCTGACAGATTCTACGACATTCGGGAATGCCGAAAGTTTCCGAACGGATATTTTTTTCGAGGAGCTTTCTTATTTCATGTAAGAAATACATTTGGAGGGGTTGACATTCACAGCCGTGAGGCGAGCGCAATTAGAAAATTTAGCACAATTTAAATATATTTTCTCTAACTTTTTGGATATTAGTACGACATCAGGACTTGAACTGCTAATCACTCGGCTACAGCAGCCGCCAGGTCTTACCCGGGCTAAAAATATCTATATCTTCTCTTTGTTAGTGCTTAATAAGAGCCTCGTTTTCGGAAGTCCTAACAGCTCGGTATATTTTAGCTTCCATATCGCTGAAGGAAAATTGGGAACATTACGAAATATTTTGAACCTCACAACCCAGGCTGTTAGTCTCGCTCGCACTTGCTTCTAAAACGGAACAGCTAAAGATTTGTTCATTTACTGCTATAAACTAGAACTATTTTTGTTTTCCATACTACGTTGCGGTCTTCTGCTTTAAGTTGCCCAACAAAAAGGGTATTGGATTTCTCTGACTCAGTGAAGCTCGTGTACAAGATGGGCTGACTTCGCTTGAGCCGAGGAAACGGTTCCTCAAGAAATGTTGACTCAACTAGTTCACACCTTCCCACATAACCCGAGATTCATAAACACATATGTACATACATTTGACAGAAAGATTATGAAATTCCTCAAACATTTTTTGGCGAAAGTTTCTAACAATTTATGCCAAATATTATCGAATCATCTATATTTTTACGCACCATGCGATTTGTAGCCTTGGTCTTAGCGACAACTCAATAATTTTTGACAGCTCAAGAGATGTCTATCACTGAGAAAACTCTTACAAATAGCTTAAGGGCTCATAAGCGATTTTCAGTGTGTGTACAGAAACAAAAGCCAAAGACTTACTTACCAACGCACGAAAAGACTTCGGCGCGAGCTAACGTCATCTGCGTCAACTGCGTCGCTTGGAATTGAACACCAGTGAACTCCCACAATCAGCGAAGGCGATGCGATGCGATTATGTGGAGTAAATATTATAGTATTGAATTTCGTTACAGCAACGCCTGAGGCGTCCAGAGCTTGTATGCGGCGATTTGCTGCTGTTGCTGTTGCTGTTGCTGCTGCTGCTCTATCGATTCAACGCTGTTGTGCGCGCGCTTGCTTTCAGTTTTAAACTCAATATTGTCTAGTTCGGCTTTTAGTGGCGTTTTAGCCAGCTTCGTTGACGGACGTGTGAATGCAATAAGCGACGCGATATTGTAACAAATATTCGAAATCTCAGCTTGAACTGCGAATATCGTTAATACCGAAACGGAATCAACGCGATCCAACGTGCGCTAGCTTTGTGGCAGCTAACGTAACAGAGACTTACGGGTTCGTACGATTTTCACACATACACGCACACACACGCTGGAGCTGTAAACGAGTGCAGCAGCGTTGAGTGAAAACGCGTTGGGCGCACGTAGTGGGTTTTAGTAAGCTAAGCGAGTGTTGTTGATTCGAATCGAGCGTTTTGCTGACAAGACAGTGAGTTCAACAAGACCGCGCCGGCGTAACACATCGAGGCGTCGTGCGGTAGTTGCACAAGTTTTGAACTGCTGTTTTGTTTTTGTATCAATAGTGTCACCTGGCAAATTGCAATAAACGAAAAGTGAGTGATTTTGAAAACGAAAAAAAAAGAAAATCAAAATTTGCGTTGCATCCACATTTGTAGGTGTAGGTATGTGCGCGCACATGTCCAAACACAGCAGCGGAAACGTTTTAGACGCGTTAATCGATATACAAAAATTATAAAAACTCTGAATACGCAAAAGAAAAAGAAGAAAATATTCGAAAATAACTTTAGCGCACTCGCTTTGGATTTTTGTGCATTTTCGTATTTTCCAGCTTTCATGTAAGCCGAGCGGTGCAATTAATTTAAAGTTTGCCGCGCGACTGGTGTTGCAAGTTGCGTGCCAGAAACAATTTAATTATACACATACATATACATAACTGCTTACAGTGTTGTATTGTAGTTATTATTGTTTTTTTTCTTTATATTTAATTTTTTCAATTTTATTTTTATTATTTTTCTTTGGTTTCCGTTGCACTTGAAAAGAGTTTTTAATTGCGAAATTCCCAAAGGCGTAAAGCAGCGTAAAAGAAAATCACAAGAAAACGCGCAAAAAGTTTGAAAAATTACAAAAGTAAATTTACAAAAAAAAAAAAACAAAAAAAAAAAAGTTCAACAAAAGAAAATTAGATAAAAGAATTTGCTTGTAAATTTTTTCAGTTTTTTTTCTTTTCCACCAAACAAAACACACGGAAGATAGATATTAAAAGTGTTGCAATCAAATAAAAATATAAGAACACAAAAACAACAAATCAATGAAATTAAAAAGTCTTAAAATGTGGCTGAACTGCTGGATGCTCTTTGCAGCTTTGGCGGTGAGTAATAATTTGAGTTTAATTTGAAAAATTATTTTTCATAGATAGCGTTGCGGCAATTAAGTGTTGTAAAAATTAATAAAAATGTTGCTAATATATATACGCTCTTGTGTGTATTTTTCAAGGGATTTCACAGCTTAAACATTTTTTTTCTATCCCCTTAATTTTTCCAACTTTTCGTGAATATTCTGCTAGCAAGCCCCTCTGAATAAAAGTTTTGGTGCGCGTTCAGGGGCAGCCAGGCTCAATCGTCTAAACTTTAAATGCGCTTTTTTCATTTCAGTCGGTTGTCAAAAGTTCTAGTAGCTGCTCAACCGATTTTTATGAAATTTTATATAAATCTTTGAGATCCAATGCATGGGTTATGGGACGAACAAATTTTTTTTTGAGTCAAAACTGCTAAAAAACAAAATTATAACAAAATTTTTTTGTTGAAGAAAAAATCTACCTTAAATCAAATTTTCACTTCTCTAGTCGAAATTCCATTGCAATTAAACTATGATAATCTTAATGCGCATTTGTGCCGTCTGTCTGCATTAAAAAGGGAATTTGTATTTGTACCTTAATTAATGCAATTTGTCTGCCTCCCTTATAAAATATACCAAAACGAAGCTGGTTAGGAAGAAAATTTGAGAATTGCCCATATTTAGTCCATTTTGTTTTTGTAATTCATCAATTAGTAGAAGAAATTGGCTTTCAATTTCCCCCAAATTGTGCTTGGCAACATTTATTATAATAATAATTATCTTAATTACTTTATTGCATGTTTACAATTTACAAAAAATTAAAAAAAAAGTTCTAAAATAAAAATACCGTTGTAATTTTGTAAAGAATTTAGAAGAAGAATTTTAGAATTTTAATTGATTTTCTTTCCACAACAAATTAAAATTCCAACGCTGCTGATGCAAATGAGAAAAAAGTAATTATGATTTGTGATACAAGTAATTAAATTTGCCTCTGCTTGCCTCTGCTTCTTGCTTCTTCTTGCTGCGCAACGATTAAAAAGCAATTGCAAACAATTTACAATTATTTAATAATTTAACGAATAAATCACAATTAACATAGAACAAATTACATTTCAATATCAACAATAACAATCCACAATTAGTAATAGTTAAACATTTTTATTTAAGAAAATTTGCAAACTAAAAAACATTTGAATATTAATTTTAAGCCGTATAATTGTTTAATGCTTTAATGCAAAAATGCAGTAAACATAAATATAAACAAACGAGCTTGCAAATAAACAAACAAAATTTGCCGGGAGTCACTAAGGCATCATCTCCTCATATATATACATAGTGCATACATACAGTCAGAGTCATAAGTCTACAAGCAGGCAGTATGAAAATGTTTGTTTCAAATTTTTTTTAAATTAAGTAATTTATTGAAATCAAATTTTACTATTCTTATACAATATTAAATGTAGAATGGTGGCGCCAAAATTCTTTGCACGTGTTCGCAAAACAGACGAGATAACGGTACTTTTAGTTTTCAACGTAACAATTCCAACGATCAAAAGTCTACAAGCAGTTAACATATGAAGGGGTTACTTAGTAAAATTTAAACTTTTTATACCTTTTAATAACGAGTCGGATATCCGCGGAGCTTTAGAACCTCCATCAAACGGTTTTTCATGCAAGTTTGCTCGTTTCCTGAGGTGTTATTTCAGCCCACTCTTTTAATATAACGTTTTTAAGCTGCTGCCTACTCGATATTGAGTGATTGCGTATTTTCCTTTCCAAAAGTGCCATAAATGCTCAATTGGGTTTAAATCGGGTGACTGTGGAGGCGTGTGTAGTTGTTTGGGGGCGTTATAGAGTAACCAAAGACGTACAATTTCCGCAGTATGTTTGGGATCATTATTATGTTGAAAATAAAACCCGTTTTGCACTCCTAATTTTTCAGCGCTCGACCACATATTACGCTTCAAAATGTCTAAATAAATATGTTTATTCATTATTGTCTCCACAAATTCCAAGTGTCCCGTGCCACTGGCTGACATACAGCCCCGGACCATCACACCGCCACCTCCATGTTTCACCGTTGGATAAATATTGCATTTGTTGTAAGCTTCACCTGTCTTACGCCATACTAATTTGCGTCCTTTTATGCCATATATGCAGTACTTCGATTCGTCGGAGAAAAGTACATTATTCCAGAACTCATCCAGCATGTTTACATATTTATTTGCGAAAGCAATACGCTTTTTTCGATTAATACGTGAAACAAGTGGTTTTTTTCGTGCTACTCGACTATGAAAACCAGCCCATCTCAAAATTTATCGCGCAGTAACCACGGAAATATTTTTCGCAAATCTTTCTTGCACATCTTGGGCAATTAACAATGCAGTCAATCGCGGATTTTTCTTCACCGCACTCAATATTGAACGACTTTCACGGACGGTGAGCTTCGGTGAACGACCAGATCGAGCCTTTGACGTGATAATTCCTGTACTTTTGAAGTTTTTTATAACGGTATAGATCGAGCAGTGTGATCTTCCAACTAAACAACCAATTTCCCGATTTGATTTCCCTTCCTGCCAGAATTTAATAATAATATTTCTCTCATCGACACTGATTTCTTTCCGTTTGGACGCCATCGTGGTTTTCCAGAGCAGGTTTATAGAAGTTTAAGATTTATTTTCACTTTTCTGCTAAATTAATATGAATTCAATATAATGCAATAAAAATTATTCAAAAATTAACATACAACACGTACAAAACCGCGATAGTACTAAGTGCTTGTAGACTTTTGATCGCTGGAATTGTTACGTTGAAAACTAAAAGTACCGTTATCTCGTCTGTTTTGCGAACACGTGCAAAGAATTTTGGCGCCACCATTCTACATTTAATATTGTATAAGAATAGTAAAATTTGAATTCAATAAATTACTTAATTTAAAAAAAAATTTGAAACAAACATTTTCATTCTGCCTGCTTGTAGACTTATGACTCTGACTGTATATATATATTTGTTATATGTCGGTACGCGCATGATATTTGCAGACACTCAAGCCCAGCAGCTGAGTGTCAAGCAAATATGTTGTATTTCATGTAAAATTTCTTATTAAAAATTTTCTTTTTTCATTTTATTTGTTTCTGCATTTAAATATTTACTTACTTTACACATCCAATTTGTCATGTCAAATATATTATTTCTAATTAACAACAATTCTCTTCGCATATCTTAACGAGTGCTGATCTTTTTTGTGCATGAAAGTGTTGCTAATTTGCGGAATCTTCGATAAAGGTAAAGCAATAAAGGCAAAAGCACACATGTCAATCAGGGTATATAAGTGAATAATTAAAAAATTAACAAAATGATAATTTGTATTAATAAAAGAAGTTCACGGTAATTAACTAAGCGAATTGAAGACTTCATACCTGTTGATGCGAACCAAACAGAGATTTTTCCTTAACACTTTCGGTGCGGTCGGTAAAAGCGATACGCAATCAATATTGCCGACATGAATATATAATATAATATAGGTCTAGTAAAAAGTCATCCATTATTTCTGATTTGAATTGAAGCCCTTCTCTCCATTTTCACAGGCTTCTCTTGAGGATAATTCTTCACCACACCAATCATTCGCCATAGTCAGAAACCGATGGTATTAATCAGCTTTGTGCGAGATCCGGTCTATAAAGTGGATGCATAAGAACCTCCTTGCGCGTGGAGCTTTTGGCGAGCCACTAGCGATATATTTGGTCTGACGTTGTTCTGATAAAACACGATTCCCTTCTTGTTGGCCTAAGCTGGAGCAGCTCATAGTGGATGCCTATCCCAGCAAACCCACATAAAACCTTTCTGGTCGTCCATCCTGGCTTGAAGGCCTTTTTCTGTTGGCTCACTACTCTTTGACCATGACTATTTCTATTTGAAATTGGTGTAAGTGAACCATTTTTCACCACCAGTCACCATCCGTTTTAGAAATGCATTGATTTTATAGCGATTCAGCATCGATTCAAAGATGGATATTCGGTCCATAAGATTTTTTCTCTTTACTTCATGTGGTACCCTGAGTTTTTTTATGTATCCAACATTTTGTGCAATGTTTAATTCCTGGACAATCAAAACAGTGCTCGCATGATGATCAGACACGTAGACGAACGACGGAACGAAATCGACGAAACCGAAATTGTGCACCGCACCAGGACCATAGACTGGACTATAAATATTCGCAGTATCAGCCTTTATCGATGAAAGATTATAGAATATAGCCCATTTTCTTTTTGCTGGTGTCCATCTCTGCCAATCGCTCAAACTTTACTGAGTTAATTGATCAGCACATCTTTGATTATATTTTTTAGTGTAAAATATCACCTTTCAAACGCTATCTATCGGATTCAATCGCACTTATAGAAAACGAGATACAAATCACTAAAGCCATCTAATAATGGATAATGGATTTTAAACCTATATAAATCTTGACTACAGTGAATCGTGACTTTTACGACATTTTTTAGCGAAGAGAGAGATAGAGAGTTATAATCATTGATTAATAAATGATTAAGTTTAAAGTAAGATTGGAATAAAGCAGAGAGACGATAGTCCTCTGACTACGTATGTCATTACGGAAGAGATGATTTGCTTAGAGTTGTGGATAGCTAAAAATCGAGCGAGTAAGTAGTTGTAGGGTTAACGATAGCTTTAAAGTGAACCAATGTGGCAATGTTCTATGCCTTTGTCTTCCTAAGTCTTCCTAGTACCATTCTGGGACACCGATATTACCGTAAATAGCTGACTGCTCTCATATACACGAGTTTGTACTTTCAAAATGCATGGCGTTCCAATATGTCTTTGGCCAGGACTCAAAACTGGTGTCAGAGATGAGAAACTGCTATGGCATGGAGCGAGAGTTGATTCAGCTCAAACAGAAAAATGTTCGAAGTTCATTGTCATGTATAGTTCTTTTATGGGTATTGTGCCATTTGTGGTATATAAAGGTCTCTGAAATATAACACCAATGAAAGCAATTCTATAAACTTCAGGATACAT